ACGGAAGTAGAATTGCCCAACCTTCCTTCTGAGGAGTGGCTGGTGGGTTTGAACCGCCAGCCGTCTGGTTAGCAGGCAAGTGTCTTAGCCACTGTGCTACCAGAGCTCCCTCAGCAAATGATACTAATCAATAATTCAATAATAACCTAGATCTTGAATTTTAATGTTAGAATTCCTGAAGTGAAATTCTGATTCTGCAACTTAATAGCCATGTCATCTTAAACACATAATTTAAGCTTACTCTGGTGGCATAGTGCCTAAGGCATTTTATTGCTAACCAGCAGGTTGGCGGTTCAAACCCTCTAGCCACTCCATGGAAGGAAGACTGGGCGAGCTACACAGGTAAAGATCTTTGGAAACCCAAAGGGGTCACTATGAGTTGGAATCAACTCGATGGCAGTGGATTTAGTTTGTATTTTTGGTTAAACTACAGTTTCCTCTTTTGTAGATGAAAAAGATACCCCCAGCTCTGCTGTCACAACCATGCTCTGTTAACTTTGAAATGTTAATTACCACCATAATATGGTTCCTATAGATATCTACCTCAGAATTCTGATATTGTTAAAATGGAAAGCAAAATCAGAAATACTACAAAAAACAGTAATGTGTTATTATAGGCAATTATTCAAACGTTAGTTTTGTCCTTTTATATATTTGCACAATTTCTATTAAAGTGAGTATACTTCCCATGGACACAAGAAGTTATTTTGGGATTTTGAAGCAAACTAATCTGGTACATACACATTGACTCAGCAAACAGTTAATGATGCCACCAGCCACTCCTTGGTAGGAAGGTTGGGCAATCTACTTCGGTAGTGATACTGCCTCGGCAACCCAAGGAGGGGGCGCTATGAGTCGGGTCTGACTCGACAGCACATAACAACAACAACAACATTATGTGCAAAATAATGTACTGGAATTGAGAAGGGGTGGGAAGTGGAGTACTAAATTTCTATGCCTACTAACTCATTTTTATTAATTTATACAGAGAATACACTCCCATGAGGAAAGTATATGCAAATAATAATTTATTTTTTTTAAAAAAAAAAGACATTTCAGGTCCTAACATGGCATAATTTTTCTAATGTTCCCAATAGATGATAATTTATTTTATATTATTATAATATAAATCCAATATTTGTATAATATAAACTTACTTCCATAAACCATTGCAATGGTTGCTGTTAAAAGATCACTAAATGTGCTTAGCCTTTCCACTTTGCTTAATAAAAAATTACTTTCTCCATTCTTTTTTACCCAGCAAATGATAATTTAGTTTTCTCAAAAAATCAGTGTTTGGACAGGCTGAACTAGTAGGTATGTCTATGAAGCGGGGAGTATAGCCAAGAACATGTATAGAGTTGGCAGACAATGGTCCTATAAGTTTATGTGTATGATCTCAATTCCCAGGTGTATAGTAGAACTGACAAGGGGCAAG